GATGAGGATGGGGATGGGGATGGGGATGGGGTGCGGTTTAAAGCCCGATCCGACTGCGGTGGGTTCGGGGCTCGCTCCAGGCCCTGCGCTGGAGCCGCAGCGGGGATGGTGCCCGCGCCTCGCGCGGCGGGAAGGCCGGGCTCCCGGTTCTGCTTTTGGGGCAGAAGAGGCACTGTCCTCTTGAATTTGCCTCGGTGGTTCGGAAGGTTGTTGGGGAAAAGTCAAGTCAATTCATAACCTCCCACAAGTGTTTCTAAGCATAAAAACTTATTTTTAGCAGTGCCGCACTCCGTATCTTGCAGGAAGCATGTCAATAAATAAAACTGACCAGGAAATGCAACCACAGCACAGAAGCAAACCCTTTAGCCATAAATAAAGGAACGGAGCTGGATCGTTTCCATTTGCTATAGAAGTTTTCCTTGTTGCTAAAGCCTATTACAGTCGCTTTGTATTTGTTAAAGTGATATTATAAACACAGTTTATAACACGTTTTTGCTTTCCTTGCAGCCATCTCCTTGCGTAGTCTCAATTGCTTCAGTATTTGTGATCGTTTTGTTCTTCAATAGTTGTCTTTGGCTTTTCTGGTACAAAAGGTCATGCTTTCCTGGCCTGGTCACACAGGTGACAGAGTCAAGCACAGTGTATGTGCTGAACATGAATTCGATGCCTTTTTTTTCCTTTTACAAAGCTGTGGATAATTTAGATTTCATAAATGGAAAGATTTGAGAGTATGCTTAAAAATCCACAGAGATTAAAGTATCAAAAATATGAATATGAAGCACTCTGAATGTGTGTGGGTTTGTTTCTGCAGGTTATTAATGGAGCAGCTAGTTTTCTTATCAGACTTTCTTCTTCAAAGAACATAAAGGCTGACGATAAGAATCTGACTGCAAGACTTCTGCTGCTCTGTCACATCCAGCTCCACAATGGTTGATTTTCTAGCTGAAAACAATCTCTGTGGTCAGGCAATTCTTCGGATTGTCTCCTGTGGAAATGCCATCATTGCAGAACTTTTGAGACTTTCTGAATTTATTCCTGGTGTTTTCAGACTAAAGGACAAGGCTGATCAACAGAAGTATGGGGATATTATATTTGATTTCAGTTATTTTAAGGTAAATATTTTTAAACTTCTCCTTAAGACATTGCTGTCCTGCATGAGAGTGCTTCAGGTTATAAAACAGCCTTTCCTGACTGTTGTGTTTATTACTAGCATTCTTCAGAATTGAATGTCACTGCTTCCTACTTGCTTAGTTTTTATCGAAAATTCACCAAACTGAAGTAGCAATTGGGATATGCTTGCACGGTAACTTTCTGCTTCTAGGCTGTCTTGTATATTATATACCTCTGATCATATTCATAGAATGGTTTGGGTTGGAAGGGACCTTAAAGATCATCTAGTTCCAACCCCCGGGAAAAGTCCAGGAAAATGACATCCATTGCTTTACCCACATCAACCAGCGCTGTAGCTTTGTCGTAGAATGCCACTAAATTAGTCAGGCACGACTTGCCCCTAGTGAAGCCATGTTGGCTGTCACCAACCACTTGGTTATTTTTTATGTGCCTTAGTACAGCTACCAGGAGAATCTGTTCCATGATTTTACCTGGCACAGAGATAAGGCTGACTGGTCTGTAGTTTCCCGGGTTGTCCTTGGTCCCTTTTTTAAAGATGGGGGTTATGTTTGCCCTTTTCCAATCTGTAGGAACCTCACCAGACTGCCAGGACCTCTCAAATATGATGGCTAGTGGCCTAGCAAATTCAGCCACCAGTTCCTTCAGGACCCGTGGATGTATCTCATCAGGTCCCATGGACTTGTGCACCTTCGGGTTCTCTAGGTGTTCCCGGACCTGATCTTCTCCTACAGTGGGTGGTTCTTCACTCTCCCAGACCCAGCCAATATCCTCTGTGATTTGAGTGGTGTGATTCGAGTGGTTGCCAGTGAAGACTGAGGCAAAAAAAATTGTTGACTATTTCAGCCTTCTCCATATCCTCAGTAACCAGGTCACCCGTATCATTCTGGAGAGGCCCCACATTCTCTCTCGTTTTCCTTTTTTCTCTCACATACCTATAAAATCCTTTTCTGTTATTTCTAATATCGCTGGCCAGATTTGACTGTCAGGGCCTTAGCTTTTCTAACCTGGTCTCTGAGTACACGAGCAACTTTCTTGTACTCATCCCAGGTTACCAGTCCCTGCTTCCATGCTTTGTGTATTCCCCTTTTGTATTTGATTTTAGCCAGGAGTTCTTTGTTTATTCATATAGGTCTCCTGGTGTTTTTGCCTGATTTCTTCCTTTTGGGGATGCAATGCCTTTGAACTTGGAGGAGATGATCCTTGAAAGTCAACCAGCAATCTTGGGCTCCCAGTCCCTCCAGGGCTTTATCCCATGGCACACTACCATGGAGGTTCCTGAAGCGGCGAAAGTCAGCTCTTCTGAAATCGAGGGTTTCAAGCTTGCTGAGCTTCCCCCTCTTAGCGGCCCTTAGGATCTCAAACTCCACCATCTCATGGTCACTGTAATTATTAGTATTGTTATTTCCTGCAGAAACTTCAAATTATACTTTCATGAGCAGGTTCTGAGCCTGTGCAGTTGGTTGTTTTCCTTTGGAGCGGTACTGTGGGCAGTATGCCCATCCTGCTTTGGTTATGTGTAGCTTATTCTTTGCAGCCGTGAAAACTGCTTTCTTCTTTCCTGTTTGACACTGCTGTGATTGTTAATTCACTGGACTTAACACATGCACTGAATAACAAAATAAATCAAAGAGTAGTGTCCATGAAAAACCCTTATTTCCCTTAAAAAATTAAGCTGCTTGCAGTTTCCTGTGTCATTCTGCAGCATGATTAAGAAGGAGCTACAGAGGCTACCTAATCTGACTGTATCTGGATTGTACACAGTAAGGCAATGGGGAATATTTATTTTTTTAGTAAGACCTGTAAATTTCAAGCACTAACTGTGAGCCTGAGCACAAGGGATTTCCCAGATACCTTTAGATCTAAGTGCTTGTTAGAAGTCTTTTTTTTACACAAATTACTTGAAATTTTAAAAGCAGACAGTTATAATTGGTGAGAAATACGACCATCCTTGAAATTGGAAGATTTTTGAATGTTAAGGAAGCACAACAGTGCTGCTGCTTTTCAGAGTAATCACCTCAAAATCCATAAAAGATACATTTATGAAGCAGAGATTAGTGATTTTACAGATATTTTCACTGCAAATGCGCCATTCCTGTATTCATGATTTTTAGAATTACCTAATGAGAAGAGATTGGAGATTTTGAAAATTCAGGCTGTGTACTTTGTGCATTTGAATTTCATAGGCAGCTGGGACCTGCTTTTATCATTTGTTTTATGTAGTTATTTTGCACAAAAAGAGAACCAGAAGAGCATTTTTAAAACCACACAGAAATTGTCGGCTGAGTATTAAGCTTAATACTTTATTTTAACTCTATTTTAAGCTATTTTTATGGAGTTCATGTTGACTGAATCCTTTTAAGCCATGATCTCATGCTGTCATAAGTGGTCTGAGGAACAACATTAACAGTATTTTCAATTAAATGTTAACGTTCAGCCTGGAGAAGAGAAGGCTCTGGGGACACCTTCTAGAAGCCTTTCAGTACCTAAAGGGGCCTACAGAAAAGCTAGAGAGGGACTTTTTACAAGGGCATGTAGTGATAGGACAAGGGGCAATGAATTCAAACTGAAGGAGGGGAGATTTAGATTAGATATAAGGAAGAAATTCTTCACTCTGAGGGTGGTGAGGCACTGGAACAGGTTGCCCAGAGAAGTTGTGGCTCTTCCATCTCTGGAAGTGTTCAAGGCCAGGCTGGATAAGGCTTTGAGCAATGTGATCTAGTGGAAGGTGTCCCTGCCCATGGCAGGGAGATTGGAACTGAGGATCTCTAAGGTCCCGACTCAAACCATTCTATGAATATTTTGAATTAAACGTTAATGGTATTTGCATTTACGTGGTGATGGTAAAACCAAACAGTGATTATGAGAAATGTTGACAGTGGTAAACGATGAGAAGAGTTTGTACCATTGCTTTAAGGAACTCAGGCTCTTCATCCCAACCGTTTTTCCGCCACAGTTGTTAATGATGTAGTTTCTGCATTAATTTGGGAAACACACTGAGATAGATCCAGAGTCTGTAAAAAAAGCCAGATCTGATACTTTCAGGCAATTTAAATGTATGAGAAGGTACTAAGCTTTGTGAAGCCTCGACATTATGATTTCTGTCTGAGAAATCATCAGATCAAATGTGTAAAGGAAAAAATTCCAACAGGGAGATAATTAGCACTACAAAAAGCACATAGTGGCTTCAGATGCATTGGGGCTTTACCCAAAGCATTAACTATTCTTTTCGATTGGTTACACAGGATAAATCATAATTAAAATTATTGCAGATTTTAACAAAGTGTAAAACTCATCTTTATGGAATCAGTGTTCAATCATAAAGTAGCTTGGAAAGCTACAGATCCTTGTTCTAGTAAGAAATGTTAATTCTGGTATTGCGTGCACAGTGGTGGTTGTACATGCTCTGTGCCCTACTGAAGAGAAGTAAAACAGAGGTCAAAGTCAAATATTGTCTCTAAAGATGGATTTCTTTTCTTAGGGGCCTGAGGCATGTGAAGGCAAACTGGAAGCCAAACCTGAGTTACTGGATTTGGATGAAGAATTTCGTGAAAACAACATTGAAATTTTGACAAGATTTTATCTAGCTTTTCAGAGTGTACATAAATACATTGTAGATTTAAACAGGTATGGTATCTTAAATACATTTGGATTTTTTGGAAGACTAGAGTACTGTTTCGTCTTAATAATGAGAAGCTTTTTCATTAGAGACCCAGTACACTTGCTGCTGAAGCATATTCATGTGCACCTGGAAACCTGGATTGCTGGAGTGAACACTTTTACTCCTGCTGTTGCTTACCAGCTGAGTGTATGAGTTGAAAACATTTAACCTCTCTACTTCATTTCCTCAAGTATAACCTAGAGCTAATTTTTCTTCTTTATCTTGGAGGTTGTCTTGAAGATTTTTTTTAATAAAAGAAGACTCCATAATATTAAACTAAGCTTTTTTTATGGTCTTGCAAAACAGAGTATCAGATAGGGGTTCTTCCTCTGACTTTCATTGGCAGTGTTTTCCTGAACTTAATTTTTCACTGGAGTTGACATATTCTCAAGTTTGCTACTCTTACCTGTAAAAGACAATATAAAAGGTTCATGAAATTCTCTAAGAAAATGTTCCAGAGAATCTTAAGAGTAAGAATTGTTTTTGTTACTGATCTTACATGAAAATATTAATTAAAAGATTAAATGTTTAACGTTACTTATTAGTAAGTAGTGTTACTAGAAAATCCTTTAATAAGAAGAAATCTTCTTTTAATCGAGATGAACATACTCTATTTCTAGCTCTATCTTCTAAATTACAATTGAGATAAATTTACAGTATTTCCAGGAGATATTTTTGAGGTAACTGGAAAATGACAGTTTTACTAAATCTTGGAGTAGAAGCCTTCTCATTGCTCTCTTCTCAGACTGTTATCCATCCATAAGAAAATTAAGAGAGTGTTAATTGTAAGTTACAGAGTATCCTCTAGTATCTTTCACATACACAATCAGGACATGGCAGGAGGCTTCTGCCAGCTGGTTGGCTCTAGCTAGGAGTTCTAGCCTCTCATTGTATAGTAGAGCATCTCTGCTTCTTTGTCTGAAAAACTCCATGCTGCTTGTACTAGGGAAATGTTCTGATATATCTGTTGACTTTCAGAGAAAATTAGCCAATTGAGTTGTGAGGACATATGATCTAAGAGCAAAATAGTCAATAACCAACTCTTTGTTATGATCCCTAGATATTTAGATGACCTCAATGAAGGAATTTACATTCAGCAAACATTAGAGACGGTCCTCCTTAATGAAGATGGAAAGCAGCTTCTAGTAAGTATTGAATAGTTCTGTCATAGTAGAAAGTGAACCAACTAGTTTAGTGCCAAACTAGACAGAGATTTAAATTTACCAAATGCATGGAAATGCTGTGACTCACTTTTTGGAAGACAAAGACCAAAAACATACAGCCTGCCATTTTTCACAGTGACATTGACTACACAGTTGACATTAGGTTAGTTTGCCAGTACAAGTTTGTCTTTACATGTTACTCCAAAATTGTATTTTTGTGGTTTCTTCCCTTCGTTCTTCCTTTTTCTAAACAGTGTGAAGCGCTCTATTTATATGGAGTCATGCTACTGGTCATCGACCAGAAGATTGAAGGAGAAGTCAGAGAAAGAATGTTGGTTTCCTACTACAGATACAGGTAATGTGTATTGGTTTTCAGAAGCACTCAAGGCTGAAAGAATGGAACATGCAGTATATTCAGATAGCTAGGTTATGGAATTAAGATAAATGGAAGTATCAGCAACTTTTTGACTGTCTGGCTGTACAAATAAACCGTGATAGTTCTGCAGAGCTCTCTGCGCGTTAATAGAACTCGTTGCATTAGCTGGTTTTCCAGGTCTAGCTGCAAAACCAGATCGACAGATTTTTCATGCTGTCACAATAGAAATCTGAAGTCCACTGACAAATAAACTTTCAGCTAAAGCTTTAACACTGCAAGTGCCAGCTGTGAAAGTATGACAGGTTCCCAAATGGAACAAATCTTGGCAAAACGTCCTGAGTACCTAGACAGCAAATGTATTTCTTGTAGTTGCAGTGCTTGATTAGTCAAATCGATAATGAGATTTCCACGGTAGGCTGGCAGCATCGTTATATGACAGGTAGAGTTTCAAGGGGTTTCAGTGCAAATCCTTTCACAAGTACAAAAAAGGAGGTGTCCTGTTTCTGTGCTTCTTTGACTATGTTTATGCCTCTCAGTATATAAGGAGAGATTCGTTAACTCTGGATTGCAGAAGTGGATCAACAAGGGGAATTCCAAAATGAAGAGGAAAAAAGAAAAAGAAAAAAAAAACGCAAACAGAATAGAACTCCCCCTCTGAATATAAAGCTACTTGTTTCTGTTCCTGAAATGAAGTTTATTTTTCTGTTTGTGCTTTGTGTGCTTATCTGGGATTCCAGTGTGGACATTTATCAGTGTCCTCCTGTAATATGGTGAACATTATGGAGTAAATAACTAAAAATCTCCCAGACCTTAGTATCTGATCATTTTCTTGGAGGAAAGGCATGGTCACAAGGAGAGGGAGAAAAGGAAATGGGTAGGTCATACAGCTCAATTTTTGTTCCTTTCTTTTGTAAAACAGTGCAGCCCGATCCTCTGCTGATTCCAATTTAGACGATATCTGTAAACTGCTTCGAAGCACTGGATACTCGAGCCAACCTGGAGCTAAAAGACCTCCAAACTACCCCGAGAGTTACTTCAGCAGGGTACCCATAAGTGAAACGTTCATTAGCATGGTTATTGGCCGCCTACGGTCAGATGACATTTATAACCAGGTAAGTTGCTGTGAGATAAAACAGGGACCTCAAACTGAACATAAAATGGTTTCTCAGGTTAGTTACTCAACCGTGAAGCCCAGAAAAAAATAAATCACAGAGTCATGGAGGTTGGAAGGAACTTCTTGAGATCTCCTACTCCAACTGCCTGGCTCAAGCTGGGTCAGCCAGAGCAGATTGCCCAGGACTACGTCCAGTTGAGGTTTGAGTATTGTCCAGAGGTACAGACTGCAGAACCTCTCTGGGAAACCTGCTCTAGTGTTTGGCCAATCTTACAGTAAAACAAACTTTTTTTATTTAAGGTCTTTAAATCATACATGATTGGCCACTCTTAGTAACTCTAATTCTTTCAGAGATTCCCATTCTTTCAGTTACTGCAAAGAGATTCATCATCCCTTAGTAGACAGTGTGTCTAAAAAGGAACACTAATATCGCAGTTCTTAACTATGAGAATTATATTAATAAAAGAAAACAAAAGTTGAAGCAAGATATGAGTAGTGGCTGCTATGTTTAGTCTCTTCTGATACGACTCCTTTGAGAGATCTTTAAGAAAACATTTGCTTTTGAGCAGGTTTCAGTCCTTAGCATGGACAAGCAGTATTATTTCTGTAATTACTGGCACATTTTTAATGACTCCTGGAAAACTGAAGCCGTTTATAGATGCCATAAAACAAGCATTGAGTCAGGAGTACTAAATTAAAAGTAGGGACCTTATCAAAGACATTTGCATTCTATTGACAGACATGCTAACCTTCAAAGGGGAAAAGATGCCTTTTCAGGTACTGTACTTTAAGAATTTTTTAAGATGTGCAGAGTTCTAGAAACAAAAAAAAGAGAACTTGGCAAGTTGTGAAGATACCCCTTTTATGACATAATCTGTGTCTCTGATAGGAAACTGAAGTGTTTTTGAGACTGTGCTCTTGTAAAGTACTTAACCTAGAAATCTTAAATCAGCTGATGTTTTTTATCAAAATTACCTTTCCTCTTTTTAATATAATGTTGGTTTATTGCCTTTGCATTCAAATATTGCAATTTGTGATTTTTGTTTTGCAGTGCTTACATTTGATAATGAAAAACATTAATGTTTCTATACAAAGCATCATTATAACCTATGAACTTTTTTCCAAACATAGTACAAAAAGTAGGATTGAAATCTTCAGCTCAAGTCAAACCGAATACAGCGTGTTTTACTGAATTATGTTATGTCTGAATTATGTTATACTGAATTATCAGTATGTCTTGTTGAATATGATTTTGAGGCCAACTTTTTCTTGTTAGCGTGTTCAGCTTTGTTTTGTTTCCTTTTCCTAGGTTTCAGCATATCCATTACCAGAACACCGCAGCACTGCCTTGGCTACTCAGGCTGCTATGCTCTATGTGATACTGTATTTTGACCCTTCTATTCTTCACACTCAACAAGCAAAAATGAGAGAGATAGTGGATAAATACTTTCCAGATAATTGGGTAAAAAGTAATTCTGTTTTAAAACTGTTGCCTGGATTTAATGTTATAGGAACAATTTTCTTTCTTTTTACAGCATGCGTTATAGAAAATAATAATATCCTAAAACTCGAACAGATTCTTTGGGGAAATTTCACTTTGTTCAGAATGAAGCAGTCTGAGTCAAACCTTCTGGATAAGTGTGGAAAGCTATCCTTTGAAAACATCAATTATTGTCTTAAATGCTTAGATCAACCACTGTGATACCATCGTGGTAAAATGAATCGTAGGAAAACGTAGACTGGAAGGTAATAGAGCCATCTTCTAGTCTAGCCTTTTCCTCAAAGCAGGGTTAGCTTCAGGGTTAAATAAGGTTGCTTGGGCCTTGTCCAGTTGTTTTGAAAATACATAAAATGAAGATCTACAGCCTCTGCGGGCACCTGTGGCTGTGCTTAATCACTCTCATGGTGAAGAATTTATTCCCTCTGTGCAACTGGAATTTCCCTTGTTGTAGCTTGTGACTGTTGCATCTTTTCACTGTGCACGTCTGAGATGGGTCTGGCTTTGTCTTATTCATAACTTCCCTTTAAGAAGTGGAAGACCACAGTCAGATCCCATAGTCTTCTTTCCTCCAGCTTAAGCAAACCCAACTCCCTCAGCCTCTGCTTTCTTAGTGGGTGTCCGTAAGTGTCTTAGTGGCCTTCTATTCAATTCATTCCAATTTGTCCATGTCTGTCCTGTACCAAGGAGCCCAAATCTGGACATATTACTCTAAATGGGACCTCATGAGGGTTGACTAGATGGGAATAATCACTTCTCTCATTCTGCTGGCTACAGTGTGGCTGATGTATGTGGTTAGTCTTTGTTGTCATAAGGTGACATGTCTGATTCATGTTCAGTTTGTCCACCAGGATGCTTAAGTCCTTTTCTGCAGAGTTGTTACATGGGCAGTTCCAGCTCCCAGATTGTGCTAGCCAGGGTTTTGGTTTTGTCTCATGTGCAGGACTTTGTATTTATCATTATTGAACTTCATGTGGTTTCTGTTGGTGAATTCTAACAGTTTATCGAGGATGCTCTGGATGGCAGTCTTGCTCTCCAACAAATCTCATATTGATGTTATTTGAAAACTGGTTTAGGGATTCATTCTGTGCCATTGTCCACACAACTTAGAAGCAAAAGCTGCCACTCTGTGCAGTTCTGTAGACCTCTTCTGATGCAATGATCAAAATGGGATTACTATGTGTCTCAGTATTGAGATTTTGAATTTCTTCCAGAAGCCCTAGTCTGCAAAAAATGCTACTGAAATAGGCCAGCACATAACGATAGAGTTGCAGGTAGTCTACATCAAAGGGAAATGGATTTCACAAAGAAGATATAAATTGTGTATATCCCTTGGTTTCAAATTGTATTCTTCTGTACTGTGAAGAAAGGAGGGAAGAAACTGTAATAGTTGGCTATTTTAATAGACATCAGAACCCATCAGTTTCTGAAAAACTGCAAGCTTATTTTAGAAATGAGAACTTGACATTGTGAATTTTTGATTATGCCAGTGTTTTTATTCACCTGTCTTCATTGTACAAGCTGCTACTTTAAGACAACACCTATCTTCTTGTGATAGGGTATGGATGAGTTAGCTGCGTTGTACAGAATACTTGACTCTTAGGCTGGTTTCAAATGACTGTTAGCAGTTGAAGTGTAGCTTTTTGAGGAACTGTCATTACAGGAAATAATGAGCTTCACTTCAACAATATGAGAAGGATCCTCCTATCAGCAGACCAGTGTCCCATTTGCCTTTACTGGCTTCCTTTTTGACACTGTCAGAAGAGCTCAAAGGCTGACAGTGTCCCCCTAGATGTGATCACTGCTGGCTGAAGGAATATTGGAGCAATAGTGTGACAAAGCTCATAATGACACAGCTCTATATATCCTTCATCTGTCAGTAACCCAAGACTTCCATTTTTAATCCAGTATCTTACAAACACTTGTAAGTCAACCAGAATTCTGTATTTTTAATCACGCTTAAACTTGGGCTAGGGGTCTGAAATCGATTCCTCTTTACTTCTTAAAAATCACAGCATGGAATCATGGTTTCCTTGTGTTTATGTTCACCATAGAAGATGCATCACATTTCAGTTTTGTCATTTGAGCATTCTTAGAGTAGGATTAATTCAGATTTTTTTCTCCCCTATCATAGTAATTTCCCCAGTTGCTTTTGTCAGTCTTCTGTGTAGCATCATGGAAATGAAAAAAAATCATAAGTTCATTGGGAAAAACATAGAGGCAAAGGATCATACTTAGTGACTGCAAGAATTGTCTGTTTTCAGAACTAAGCCTCTATTTAACTGTATGCCTTTTATTTGAAAGTCTTCTTACTTCTCGGTTTCCAAAAGTGGTGGAGCAAAAAGTACAGCTACCAAAAAACTTCAGTTATCTCATATTTATACTCACAGCATATGGCCTTCTACTCATATTGTTAAATGAAAAGTGTGTCTTTTTCTTAACAAAAATATAAATGCAACTTCTTTTCTACTTCCAACTTTAGGTGATTAGCATTTACATGGGAATCACTGTAAATCTAGCAGAAGCATGGGAACCCTACAAAGCCGCTAAAACTGCCCTCAACTACACACTGGATCTTTCAAATGTCAAAGAGCAGGTACGTGAGCCACAGTTAAGTGTTTTTAGCAAGATTCAGGCTGCGTGGGCATCTCAGGTATGTTATATGACGTCAATAATGCATGGGTCTTTTTCTCTCAAATACAATTGTTTGTTTTGCATTCACGTGCAATCCTTTGAGTACATAACTTTGTACATAACTTCAAGTTAAAAATACATCAAAATTTCAAAATGTTGTCTTCATAGCACTGCTTGTTTTGCTTCCTCTTGCAGTCTTTCTTTCCCCTAAAAGTTTCAGGGTTGTGACTTGACTGAATAGATGCTAGCACTCATCACCATGTTATTCAGTATTGGGATGTCTTAAGCTGGCTATTGTGTTTGGTGTTTCATAGATAACAGTTTTAGAAGTCACACATTTATGCTGACAGAGTGTGGCACTCATTCAGTTTTAAATGGGGCCTCTCAAATTAAATAAACAATAATCTGGAAAAAGGATCTGATTTAAAAGGATGATACAGTTACTTCTTTTTATGTGAAATCATTTTTTCCGTGCCTAAAACACAATGAGTAATATCGGGTTGGTTGATTGTTTGCCCCATCAGTTGACTGATGATAGCTAAAAGCCTCCTTAGAATGTGACCGTAGTGTTCAGGAAAGAACACACAGAAGTGTTTAATTAGGAGAACTCTACTATATATTGTCTAGTAAACTTAGGGAATACGAGCAGACATTTTTACCTAGGGAAGAAGTTCGCTAAGTAGAACTGACATTTAATTCATAACAAGTATTTCCATTCTGGAATAGGTTTTTGTTGTTGTTCTTTCTCATTAGGCATCTAAATATTAGTACCATTTTTTAGGAATAATTTCTAGAGAGTACATCAGTGAATACAGGAAGTTTACAAGTCTGCATTTTTGAAACATTATGCTTCCTGTGTAGGCTCTTTGCTTTAAAATTTAGCTTGCATCCTTTGCCATGCAGTTGCAGTGCGTGATATTGCCTGTTAGAAACGATAATAGTTTTTATGGCACTTCTTTGATCTGCGTGCCCTCTAAGTTGTGAGGGAGCCACAGTCACATTGTACAGGACCTATTCCATTTGAGGCAAGGATTAGACTGATGCAAGCTTTGTATATTCTAAGGCAAGCAGATACGCTGCAGTCACTGAGCGAGTGCACGCTCAGGTGCAGCAGTTCCTCAAAGAAGGCTGCCTAAGGGAAGAGCTGGTGCTGGACAATATTCCCAAGCTGCTGAATTGCCTCCGAGACTGCAACGTAGCAATCCGCTGGCTGATGCTTCACACTGCAGACACAGGTAAGACTTCATACTGGACTTTTATTATGGAGCTGTCAGTCCTGCTATAGTGGGGCTTCAGGTTATGTCCCTTGGGAAGTTTTTTGCTAACAGTCTCCTAAAGTCTTTGGCTGAAACAGCACACATGTATTTCCTTAACTCTTGTGAGCTAGACACAGGTATAAAAAGTAGTATGAGAAGTCATGATCCTGTTGAATAATACTTTGCAGAAAAAGCCCGGAAACTTTTTATCTTTTTATGCCTTATCACTTAAAGCATCATTCTGAAGGCTTTACCTTGTCCCAAAAGGAAAGCAGTAGCCAACTTCTTAATACCTTAGTAATTAGTAGTTTAAAACCAAGGTTTTTATTCTGTTGAATTGAAATTCAACTGGAGCTGTTGAATAATGTCTCTGAGATGAGTTTGGGTCTGTAACCTATTTAGACATTCTCTTGTTGAATGCTTGTGCTGACTTTGAGGCCTCTTGGTATGTGAGAGGGCTTGTGTTACACCTCCATGGGGATTCTGCAACAATTTCAGAAATGTTGATCTCTGGGCTTGTCAGTCAGGTGTACTAAGTTCACATTCAGTTTGCAGAAGCCAGCAGCAGAGTTTTAAGAAAGCTGAAGCACCGCAGTTAATTATTTCCTATTCTAAGGAAGGGTTGTACAAGGGTGGTGAGACCCATGTAAATGGCAAACAAGTGGGGACTTACATATCAAAGCAAAATGTTTTTGCTTTCAAGCTATTAAAAAAAGGGTCTATTTACAAGGATCGAAAAGCTTGGCCAAATTCGGTAACCGTGGAGAAACGTTGTCTTTCTGTTTTCAGCTTGTGACCCAAATAACAAACGTCTCCGCCAGATAAAAGATCAAATTCTAACAGACTCAAGGTACAATCCCAGGATCCTTTTCCAGCTTCTTCTGGATACAGCTCAATTTGAATTCATTTTGAAAGAGGTAATGTGCTGCTGCCTTCTTCAGTGTTTTCCCCGGAATGGCAGAACAGAGCTGGAGACTTGAATAGTAGGCGTACATTTACTGCACAGTTCACTTATGTAAAGAATGTTTATTTTGATTTGTTATTTGTGAGTTTTCTATGGAAGATTACAAGCTCCTATTGCTTGAGAGTGACTTTTGCAGTCTCTTTAATAATTGGCAGTTTTTATTCTTACCCAACATGTTTTTATTTACTCAGAATTTCACGTGAACATCCTGATAGCAGGCATAATAAAATCTGTTGACGAAGCTGCATAAGTTTCTATCCTGCCATACTTCCTTTTTCAGACTTTCTGTTACACAGATGTGAAAGCCTGTGTGTGTTGAGGATAAGCTACCAATGAAACTCTTAGACCTACGTGTGAAGTTCTGCCATTTCTAAAAGATTCCCCATTAATGCTCTGGTACTAAGCTGGTAGAATATACAGGGTATGCTTAACCTCAAGCACATGCTTTTTTGAATTGGGTTTCTCTGCATAGGCTGAGATGACTGTGCAAAGTATAAGTCAACATTAGACCAGAGTCTTCTAGAACCTCTAAGCTAAAAAAGTTACTGGTTATTTTTATAAGCGACTGAAAATCAGCGATTTCTGTATCATACTGTTTTTTAAAATTAACTTTTTATCACTGTGTGTCCATCATGCTGTCTGTATTTCTTAAAGGTTTTAATTTTGTATTTAATATTCTGGCAAGATCTTGAAGTTATGTAGTAATCACTGTAAGTCAGTTCCATCCATTTTCAGTATTTTATTTCATCTATTGTAGTATGCCTTCTTGCCAGTTTTGTAAGCCAAACGCTTTCTTTGTCACAGATGTTCAAGCAGATGCTGTCAGAAAAACAAACAAAATGGGAAAACTATAAAAAAGAGGGATCTGAAAGGATGACTGAGCTTGCTGATGTCTTCTCAGGAGTTAAACCTCTTACTAGAGTGGAGAAAAATGGTAATTAATAAAAATTAATTATTTTTTCTTATTTCTAAGCTAATATCAAAAGAAAATAAATGAGACTAATACTGATAATAAGAAAAATTTTTGTGTCCCTCAGCTGCCACAGAGGTCTCTTACCTGCTGCCTTGTTTAGGTTTTCTGCATATATTCCATGTGTAAGTGATATTTAGGTACCTGATGTTTAGATGGCCTATTCTTAAAAATATTTTTTATCACTTTATTTAGATATGCCAGGTAAGACCATGAAACGCCGGTTCACTTTTGTATGTATAACAGAGTTCATGTTACTGTGTTCTGTGTACAAAGGAGTGCGAAGATAATGCCCATTAAATGTGGGGATGGTTTAACCTCTACTGTCGTTCTTTACCTAGTTGTAACCTGGATTTCTGTTGTATCAGTGTTTTTTCAAACCTTCTTTTACTTCTCATCTGCACTGAGTGGTGTTCTCCAAGGACTTAGAGGGTTGAGTCTGTATTTCTTTCCAAATTTCTTGCTCTGTTTTTTGAAACATTTTTTTTTTCTTGAAGTGGTGTAAGAATAAGAATTATAAATCACTCTCTCATTTGATCAGGAACGCTACATGAAGTGTCAATGTAAGGGCAACATTTGTGATCAATCCAAAACAACAAAAGTTAGAATACAGGCAATTTTCTCACTTGCTTCCACTTAAAAGCAGAGTTACCTTACTGAAATTTTTCCCTTTTGAAACATTTATCTTTTATGATGATGTCATAAAATCTTTTTATGATTATCTTTTTGATGTCAGCAAACTTGTAGCTGAAACATAGAAATTGTCACTGCCAAGGCAATTAAAAATGTGAAACTGTTCATAAAACACAAATTTATGATTTAAAGGGCTCTATCATCTTTGTATAGATTTTATAGTACCCATTTGTGTTGGTAGGGGTTTTTTTTTTAATGTTGTATATGAAACTTACGTGAGCATTTTCCCCTTTACAAATGTACATGTTGAAAGACTAGAAATGTAAGAGTAAGATAAAGACTTTTTAAATAAAATCCTACATGTGTGGCTTTTTGTTTGTTTTGACTAGCAAAGTTCCCTGTGTCTTTGTTCTGTATCATACATGGAAAGATTTGATGAAATTTTTCTTGTTCTTACATAGAAAATCTTCAGGCTTGGTTCAGAGAAATCTCCAAACAAATAATGTCTCTAAACTATGATGATTCCACTGCAGCAGGCAGAAAAACTGTGCAGCTAATACAGGCACTGGAGGAGGTATGGCAAAGAAATCTTGAGATAAAGGACCTGATCTGTTTGAAAAATAGCATCTGATACACATGCACTGACTTCTGATAGATGAGTTATAAAACAGATCTGCATTTTAACAACTGTTTGAGTCTGTAGATCTTTGCAGTTTTATATATACAGTCAGCAGGACTTGCTTATAGACCTTGTGATTGTAAAATAAGGAATATAGCATGAAAAATCATGCCACCTGCAGCTGACGATTAGTAGGGGGTTTCAAAGAAATTAATTCAGTATTAAACATTATTTAGCAACATTACTCATTTTATTAGAAATTCTGAAAATAAATTCATTTGAAGTTAGAGAGGGTAATTTGAAAGACAAAATAAAAATATCCATATTTGTCATTTGTACATTTCTTCTCCTTCCGGGGTATAAAAGTATACTCAGCATGGTGTTTCACAGTACACCTCCTCAAGTAACTTCATGAAATGTATTATTTAATGCACGCTAAAGTAGGCCAGGATTTGTGTCTTACTGCAATAACATCCTGGAGAAATATGTCAGTTCAATGATTGTATTTCTGTCCTTGAAGATGAACAGAAAAAAATGAATTGTTTTATGGGGTTTGTTTGGTTTTTAAATATAGGTCCAAGAGTTTCACCAGCTGGAAACTAACCTGCAAGTTTGCCAGTTTCTGGCTGACACCCGCAAATTTCTCCATCAGATGATCCGAACTATCAACATTAAAGAAGAGGTCTTGATCACCATGCAGATAGTTGGTGATCTTTCTTATGCTTGGCAATTAATTGACAGGTATCTTAGCAGAAGCTTTTTCTTCCATGTCACTTGTCATTTGCGAAACTTGTGGGAAATAATATGCATAAATATTATTAACATTATAAACTTTCCAATTTAAAAACAGTCTTGAAGCCTTGTTCTACAAGTTGTTGAGTATATTTAACTCTTATCAACTTGAATAAGAATTAACAGCCATCCTTGTCATGTTGTTAGCTGCAGGTTCAGTGATGCTGTAACTTTTTACTGTCTGTCCTCTTCTGACCATAACAGTTTCGTTAAGCATCTATCGCCAGCCTTTCATCTAGTTAAGTGTTCTCCAAAATACTGGAGTTCCTATTTTGACCAAAAACAAACTAGGAAAGACAAATGTTAGAGAACTCCTTTTCCATGGTGTGATTTTGCTAAGCTGCTACTTCATTATGTTGGCAGCTAATACTCCTGGATGCCCGCTTCTTTTGTCCCACCTTTCCCTTTATCATATAAGTTTTTTTCTAACCAACATCTCTTCAGACCAAAATTCTTCTTTAGTGAAATCCTGAGCTGTTTCTAGATTACACTGGTGGTGGTAACATCTGATTTTGAAGTTGAAAGTAGGAGTTTCAGGGGAAGAAGCTGATTTGTTTTGTTTGTTTCCTTCCTCAGCTTTACATCCATTATGCAGGAAAGCATAAGAGTCAGTCCGTCCATGGTAACTAAACTCAGAGCCACTTTCCTAAAGGTATGTGTGAGCAACAGTGAATGTGCTTGAACACTGCAGGTCAGCCAGAGCATTTGTTAAATAGGCCTTAAGGCTGTGAAGTCACAAAAGAATAAAAACTTCCTTTTACCAACATCTTCTGTATCCAGATTTTTTAGACTATACTAAATTAACTCAAGGTTAGTTTTAAAGAAAATAAGACCAAGTTATGCATGTTTTTGTATGCAACCAGTTATATTGCTGCTGTTAGGCAAATCGGTCTCATCACGCAGCCTCTGCTCATTACAGTTATTTTCTGGAGAAATTGGTGGATAGATGGGATGCTCTGCATATGTATCGGAGGAGGCTGAAGGAATTGCAAAACTTACATTGGCTGTGCCTTTGTGTGTCATAATGAAGGTCTGGCATCAGATGAAAATATTTTCTGTAGAAATAAGAATGGGAAACAGCATGAGGGAGAGTGTAAAATTATGAGAAAAATATCTCATGCAACTGTTAAGATTTAAAAAAAAAAAAAAAGGGGAATGTAGCCTTATAGACTATTGGACTTTTTAGACTTTTTTTTTTTTTTCTATTGGCAAACCTGATGTAACACCTCTTTAGGAAGAATCTAGTGCTTTGAGTTGCAAGTTAAGAGCCTGAGAAAGAGAATTCAGGCACGTGATTTATATTAGAAAAACAGACACGTGAAGTTAAAACATTGACTTTATTTCTAGCTCGCTTCTGCTCTTGACTTGCCACTTCTCCGCATCAATCAAGCAAACAGTCCCGATCTTCTCAGTGTGTCACAGTACTATTCTGGCGAGTTGGTTTCCTACGTAAGAAAGGTAGGCATTTGAAGAGGCATAATTGTCTTGTTCTCTAATTACTTTCTCTCAGTTGAAGATTTTTATTTTTTTTTTAATGAGAATATACTGTTTGTTTCTTCTCTCATTTACAAAGGTTCTACAGATAATTCCGGAAAGCATGTTTACATCTCTTCTCAAAATTATAAAGCTTCAGACTCATGATATTATTGAAGTGCCTACTCGCCTTGATAAGGACAAGCTACGAGATTATGCTCAGCTTGGACCAAGATACGAGGTGCAGTTAAAATAGGGAATACTGAAAAAACTTACCTTATAGGGGGCCAACTTCAACCTAAGTTTAGATAGATACAGCTTCACAGAGTTGTACTTAAGCAGTGAACTTGGATTTGTTGACTGAGTAAGAATTAAAATTGACTAGTGCTACCATAAGTATACCTTAGGTTTCCTGAGGACAGACGAGTAAGTTTTGCTCTCCTGTTTGTAAAAGTTAAATATTTGATCATATAGAAAAGGGGAGAAAAACTAAATATATTTATAAATGACCGTAAAGATTTTTTGATTTACTGGGGGGAGAACCCTAAAAACTCGAATCTGAAATGAAGCCGTGTACATTTGGAATGCTTGTTCCAGGAGAAGGAGAAGGTCAAAGACTGAATAAGCCATCAGGGTTAAGTTTTTTGCTGCCCTCAAATGTGAAGACAAGCTGGAGGCGCGTTGATTTGATCTGATAAAGCTGCTATTACTCATCTACTTTTTGTGCACTGTTACCAGTCTGGAAGAGTGAGCAAACATAAAATTACTTGGGTTTATTTTTAGTAGAGGAAGATGAGGAGCAAAAACCTGAGTAAACCAGTAACTCTAAGAATATATCTCCAATTATCAGTTAAGATGCCAGCTTTTTCCAGCAGTTCTTGCCAAAGTGCTGACTTGTTAGGTGTTGTATACAAACCAGCTGTGGTCTCTGATTAAGCTGATGTTGAGACCTGAACACTAGGTTTAGACTTCCCCCATTAAACTTTGTAAAGTCAGTTTATTTTGTGTGGAGGTAGGAATGGAGGAGGAGGCAGAATTCAGTAGTACTTCTTTTATTTTGAGGACGTGAAGGGGGAACTGCTTATCTTACACAAAAGCTTTTCCATTTTGATTTCTGTAGAATTGTAAGACTGAACAGTGTTGTCTCTGTATTGTAAACGTCTTAAAGGCAAAAGACTGGTTTGTCTGAGCATAAAGATGCTCAACTAATAATTTAAAGCTTAAGTGAATGTGCTACTGTATTAGATCAGTGGAAGTACTGAAGTGGACTCATTGCTGGCAGCAGGCTTTATTACAGAATAGCTACTTCAAGCTGTGTCCCTAGCCTGCTCAAAGTGACCAGCTTAAGAGTTTAGTCCGTGATGTTTTGTACACACATGATACAGCCAGCTACATCTTTCCTCCTGTAATCTCTGTGAAGCCTCTGAGAGGTACCTGTTCTTTCCTACTGGTAACACACTTATATTTATCTAATGAAAAGAAAGATAATTATTGTACTATATGTCTAGAACAAGATGTAAAATTGAAAGTGTATCAGTGCAAATTACTTTAATCTAAAACAGGAAACTACCACTGGGAAAGATGTATATATTCTTAGGGTAATTATTTGAACCTATTAAATCACTTCAATAAATTGTATTTTCTCTTTCTATTAAAGGTTGCCAAGCTAACCCACGCAATTTCAATCTTCACTGAAGGTATCCTTATGATGAAAACTACTTTAGTTGGTATCATCAAGGTAATGTTTCATCATCCAGTAGGAAAAAGTCATTTGGTTACATTTAGCACTTCAGCACAGATATTTCAGCACATTAACCAAGACCTTGAGGAAAGATAAAAAGACAAGAAAAATAAGTTTATGTACGGATTTTCAAAGAGTGATGTCTAACTTGGCACCCAGATAAGAATCCACAGTCCTCATTATAAATAGATTCATCAACCTTAATTGATGATCTTTGGGGTTTTTTTTCCTACTGGAAAGCTTTTCTGAAGAGCTGTTTCTTCCATTGGCAAAGACTACTCCTCCTACATTAAGATGCCTCTTTCGGGACCAAAAGCAAGTATTCTTGAAGAAATATACACTTCTTAGTGCGTAGTGGCTTCTTATAGTTGTACAACATTCTCAATGAATCACGATCAAAGGTTGAATATGGGAATTACAAACATTTGCCATTCAACTTAAAGAAATCATTTGTTATCCAGAAGTAGTACTTAAATATTTATATTTTGGACAAGCACTGGTGGGAAAGTGCATCTGTTAGCAGTGCTTTCCAATTCATCGTAAGTATTTAATATCTCTCTTGGTACGACCTAAATCCTTTATATTTTTTATACCTTTCTGACTTCAGTAGAAAAAACATTTTTTTCTTTAGGTGGACCCAAAACAGTTACTAGAGGATGGAATAAGGAAGGAGCTGGTAAAGCGGGTAGCCCGAGCTCTTCACAGGGGACTCATCTTTAATCCAAGAGCCAAGGTGTGTAGCAGCTTGATTTGATTTTAATTTTTTATGCATCTTGGGTTTGCTGGGACCTCTTTTATTATGCTGCCTTCTAGAAAATAATTTGTAGTTTTCTGTGTGGATTTCCTTTTTGTAAAAAAAGTACACTTTTTGAACTTTTAAAGGTTATTTGAAATGCCTTATTTGATGTTAAAATGAGTTTATAAACTGCTAAGAGTACATAGAATTCAAAAACATATTTTTATTGTGTTGCCAAGTGTCCTATCAATTCTGAATTCACAGTTCTGTCTTTGTCTGTGACAACTGATGACAACACGTGATATGTATAGGCCAGGTAAACATAGAAAGGCGGTGATGGAATAAGGAACATGACCTCCTTATTTTCATCCTGTCCAGATTATTGAGTCTCCTAGATCAATCAATAGTACCATAGAAGCCTAAAATAAACATTAAAAGGGGGAGGAAGACATAATTTATTAAGAATTACTTCAGATATCAAACAACCTTTGATAAATTTCTCAACGCTTTTCAGTTTTGGCTGGAGCAGAGTGAAATCCTTTAGAGTTTATTGTGTAAAGGCATTTAGAAGCCTTTTACATTTTCTTTGCATTCTACTTATTCACAGTCTTGTTTTTTTCTTTTTTTTCTTTTTTTCATCTGCAGCCAAGCGAACTGATGCCCAAACTGAAAGAAATGGCAGCTACAATGGATGGCTTCCATCGATCTTTTGAATATATCCAGGATTATGTCAACATATATGGTTTAAAAATTTGGCAAGAGGAAGTGTCTCGTATTATTAACTACAATGTGGAACAGGAGTGCAATAACTTCTTAAGAACAAAGGTGCTAGTCAAAAACAAGAACAAGTAAAAAGTTAATAGATCTCTTTATATTTAGATGTTAAAGCTTGTGATTGATGTAGTATATGTACCCCATTGTGCACAGTCCATACTGTTGTGACTTCAACTAAATGTGCTAACTACTGTGTAAAACATCTGCCCCCAGCTTTTTCTGAATTATTTCAGCATCCTCACTGCATTAGTTGTGCATAAGAAGAGCAAAGTACCTCAAACAGAATATTTTAATATCGCTTGCCAGTGAACTCCTGGGAACCATGCTGAGGCACATGGAGAGCAAGGAGGTGGTGGGTGACAGCCAACATGGCTTCACCAAAAGGCAGATCGTGCCTGACCAACTTGGTGGCCTTTTATGATGGGGTGACAGCATCGATGGACAAGGGTCGACCAACGGATGTCATCTACCTGGACTTGTGCAAAGCTTTTGACACTGTCCCGCACGACATTCTTCTCTCTAAACTAGAGAGGCATGGGTTTGATGGATGGACCACTCGGTGGATAAGGAATTGGCTCAATGGCCGCACTCAGAGAGTAGTGGTCAACGGCTCAATGTCCAAGTGGAGACCGGTCACGAGTGGTGTCCCTCAGGGGTCTGTGTTGGGCCCGGCCCTCTTCAACATCTTTGTCGGTGACGTGGACAGTGGCATGGAGTGCACCCTCAGCAAGTTCGCTGATGACACCAAGCTGTGTGGTGCCGTCGACACGCTGGAAGGGAGGGATGCCATCCAGAGGGACCTCGACAGGCTGGAGAGGTGGGCCCGTACCAACCTTGTGAAGTTTAACCAGGCCAAGTGCAAGGTCC